CTTTAGGGGTTAAAAATTAATGGCGACTATAGAGGTTTAAGTGCTACTGCTAGACCACTAAAAATTTAAGTGGCCACTTTAGGGGTCAACGGATCAACATAACTGGTCCAATCTGTTTGTTTCAAGATTATCAGAGTTACTGGAAGGAATACTGAATGAAAAACTACTGGATTGTCCACTAAATATAGAACCTCTATAGTGGCCACTAAAACGGAAAATAGTGGCCTCTATAGAGGTGGTTTTAGTGACCACTTTAGGGTCCTCTTCAAGCAGTCTCTATAGTGGCCACTAGAAGTTTTCCCAGTACTTGAAAGTTCCCTTTTGCTCAGATTTAGGTGACCACTGTAGAAAATTTACTCTTAATCACTTAGGCTCGTTTAATGATGACCAAAAGAGCATTTGGAGGAGTTTGAAAATGAACTATCTCAAGGACTTTGCCGAAGACCTGCAAGATATTGACAAGAACGACAAAGGCGGCCCGGACGACGAGGAAGGCGACGACGAAGAAGAGCCCGAGCCTGAAGATCAGATGGGTGACGTCGAAGAGGAGGACGAGAAACAGTTGGATCCGAAACTTTGGGACGACGAGGAAGATGAAGAACAGCAGCAGGACCAGCAGAAGAACATGGACCAGGAGAATACTGGTTTTTCAGAAGGTTCTTGCTCTAGACAGTAATATCCCCGTTTCAGCTGCGGACCAGAAGACCGACGACATGGTCGCCAAGGAAGACGAGCCTCAGCCCCAGGAAGACGGAAAACAGAAGCCGGAAGACGTTCAGGAAGACCAGGAGAACGTCGATGAACGCGATCGGGAAGACGACGGCGGCGGAGACGTTGATGACAAGAATCAGCAACCGGAAGTTGATGAAGAAGCCCGGAGAGAGGAGGAAATGTTCGTTTTGGACTTGATAGTCGTTGAAGTTTGCTGAGATTCCAAAATTTCTAGGTTAAAATGGCATGTTTAAGGTTTTTTCAAGATTCTTTGAGCTTTTTGTTGAATTCTGATATTATTTTTGGACAGAAAATTTTATTTATACGAGAAAATTCAATTAATCCGCTTTTCTAAGTTCTAGAAAGTTGAAGCTAAAGTTAAAAATGATCATACAAATTTCAGAAAAAATCCGCGAAATCC